TTAAATTATAAATAATATATTAATATTTAAAAAATAAAATAATAATATATATAATAAAAAATATTTTTATCTTTTTATTATTATTTTTTATTTCAAAGTTATTTTTACCAACTAAACACTATAATAAGTCACAATAATTATTCTTACCTAATTTCATTTATTGTATCAAATTAAATAATAATTATTCTATTCTATTTTCACCTTATAATATTTTCATAAAATAATTATTTTATTCTATTTTTATATATTTTGTGAACCAAATGTGCAATTAAGATTTAATGTATATAGTTGTACACTGAAACCGGATAAAAGAATATCCTACTTCCCTACCCATCCGGAGCATAGCCGTGAGTTACAGAAAAAAAATATCACAATCCAACTCCCTCCTCTCAAACCGTACAAAAACAAAATACAACCATGTACTCCTCTTGACTAAGAGCAAAAATTTAGTTCAAGTAAGGCCCTTTGCCACTAACAAGGACAATAACTGAGGCCCTCACCAGCAGTCAAGTATACCAGAACTCAGAGATGAGATAAATTTGGTTGCAACCATGAAGCATTTCAAGAAGAATAACTTCATACACGAAGTTAGAAGGCCTTGTTTTCTGTTTTCTTTGAAATTTTTCGGATAAAAAAAAATCAGACTTTTACTGTTCATTTCCAAAAACCATACTAATTTCGAAGAAATTTTTCCTCAAAAAAAAATAATATTCTTTTAAAATTCACTTTTTCAAATATATTTTCCACTGAAAATTTCATTAGAAATTCTATTGCTAAAGAGGCTGACAATAATACTTATTGTTGAAAATCCATTGGAAATATTCGATGAAAATTTTCATAAAAAAAACTTATAATATTTTTAATTATTTTAATATTAATTTATTAAAAAAGGTAAAACTTTTCAATAAAATTTTTCGTCGATAATTTTATTTAAAATAAAAGATTAAAGTCTTTTAATCTACTTCTCATTGATAGAGTGCAATATCCGATCTTAATTCTTAACGTACTAGTGGAGAATGGTATATATAGTAGATATGCAATTAGTTAGTAAAACCTCAAACAATTCCTCCATTGGAAACACAGAATTTAAAGTTGACAGAGAATATTTATATTTATCCTTATCCTTTTCTTTGTTGTTATCAAGTAGCAGAAAGTAATTTGTTAAGTATGTCTTGTTTTCCAGGCAAAGTAAAATGTGAAATATAACATAATCTGCATTTAAATATTTGATTTATTAATTGATGTATTATCTTCCTTCTCTCAATTATAAAATATAGATAACATAATCCAACCAGTATAATTAATTATATATATAGTGTTTTTTCAATGACAATAACCATTTCATTATCATTATCATTCATAAAAAAAAGTAAATATAAAGAATCCAACACATAAAAAGGCATAAAAAATGAAACATTAATGTGGATGGGCTCCCAGTTCTCACTCTAACTCAACCAATTTATTGATACCACCTCATCATCACCTTCAAAGAACAAACTCAACCACTTAACAACTTCCAAGACCTTAAAATTAGTTTAGTTTTGATTTACTATTTATTGTAAAGAAAAATGTTGCAATATTTAAAACAAACAAACAGATCTATAAGTTGATTCTATTTTCTTGCTTCTTGATAACAGAATAAATCTAAACTAAAACAAAAAGAAAAAAAAAACGCGAAAATAAGTCACTAACCTTTGCTTGATCTTCTCAAAAAGAAGAAAAGGATTAGCGGGGTGCACCGAGTGTCAATGACGTTATATTATACTATACCTTTTGTTATTGTATAAAAAATTTGACCATCAAACAAATTAAAAAGTTATATTATATTACGATTAGTAAATGCTTTGAAATAAAAATAAAACGCTTTCACTCTTCTAAAGATTGCTACATATTAAGATTTCCATTACAAGTTTAAAACTTTAGATGGAGTGATTTTTTAATTTGTTGTTACATTATTAATTTATATTTTATGTGTAATTTTGCACACAATTAAATTAATTATATGTCAAGTGTTATGACAGAAAGAATAAATGTAGTGTTTTTATTCCAATTTAAGACGAATCCTGTTGGAAAAATATAGATAATTGGTTCAGAGTTTGAGTTCAATAATTAAACTCTTTATTTGAGAAATTGATGGAATACCGTGTGTAAGAAATCAAACTTAATTGACCAATTCATAAATCTTTGACTTATTTGGCTAAGTAGCAATGAGGTAGTTTTCACACACCTTCATAATTCACGCACCTTCATCATTACAGACATGTGATTTTAATGTTCCATATACATATGTGAGCAATTCATTCCTAATGCTCTTTTCGGATGAAATTTTCTAATTACTGCTCAAAGTATAAGGTCACGAGAATGTGGCCTTTTTAATTGATTTAATAAATTAATCAAGCTTGCACCATGGCTTCCCTCAACGCTGCTTATAATATTCCAAACGTATCTATCAGAGGCAGGGGCGGAGCCTCCCTAAGTGATGGGCCAATGGCTCCCCCAAAATTTTTTAAAATTTTTTCATGACATATAAAATTTTAAATTTTTTTTATATATTTTATTAATGATTCTTTCAAAATAATTTTTTATTTAATAATTAATATAAATAAAAAATAATAAAATAAT